CACGAGCCTCCCTGACGCTGCAGCTGCTTGGTGGAGTGTTGCACAGGCGCTGTGCGCGCCGTGCACGTACACATAAGGGTTGAAGAGTTTAAAGACAGGTAAGGAGTTGGGGCAGGAGGGTGGGCCCTCCGGAGCACCATATTGGAATGATATCTGGTGCTCCTGGCAGGCTTTGGTACGCCCGTACTGGGGTGTACCACCTGCAATCCACCACTGGTGTAACCCCATCTGAGGAGCCAGAGGCTCCCTCATTGGCTCTGATGATAATATTCAGTGGCCACACTAAGCCATGGTTAAGAAATTCTTAACTTCCATTTTGTAAGCTGACCCAGAATCAGATGAGTAATGTGTAACATAAATACCCTATGCCTCCACTTAGAAAGAATTACAATCACTTCCAATTTTGAAATTCTGTCTGTATTACTATTAGGAACTGTTGAGTTAAAAAGTACAACATGTACTTTCTTGCTTTCCAGTCATGGCAATTTTTAAGTGTGGACCTCATTTCCCAGAATTCCCCATGTCAATCCCCTTTGAACTGTCTCCTGCTAGTACCTGTATCCATTCCCGCTCCAGCAGTCCTTGGAACCCTGCCAATGTCCGGCAGGATGGATCCAGGATAACTTGGGCAAGAGCTGTCACCAACAAGGTGGCATCCTTCCCTTCGGCTCCATGCACCAGGACACAAGCCTCCTCTCTGGAGCAAGACACAGAGTATCTTGTTACACGACCGTCTCCCTGACATGAGCACATCCCCAAAGGTTGGGGTGCAGAGGGGACTTGCCCAAACAGCTTCTCCTGGGGGCTCCTCTCCAGACACTTTCTGGGGGAAGGACCAGAGGCAATCCTACCTTTCCAGGCACTGGGCTGCCAGGCAGGCAGCATTCAAGGCTTCCTTGACATGGGACAGCCATTTGGAGGCTTCCAGCCTGCTCAGCCAGCGGTCCATGTGGGCAGAAGGGTCATTGCAGGCTTCTACCAGCTTGATGAAGCTTTCCTGGAGGGAGCGACCCCTGAGAGGTGGGGAGGAGGAGAAAGAGAAGGAGAACTGCTTTGGTTAGGAGTCCTGCAGCCAATGGTGAAATTCATTTTTTTAAACTACCGGTTCTGTGTCTACTGTGGCTTGGTGGGTGTGGTGCGACTTGGTGGGCATAGCAGGGGAAGGATACTGCAAAATCCCCATTCCCTCCCCATTCTGGGGCCAGCCGGAGGTGGCATTTGCCGGTTCTCCAAACTAGTCAAAATTTCAACTACCGGTTCTCTAGAACCTGTTGGATTTCACCCCTGCCTGCAGCTCACAATCAGGGGTTTCTCCCATGGACCAGCCTTGTCTGGCTGGAGAAAGTGAGGTATAGGAAAGGCTGGTTTCAACCTTCACATGTGTCCATCTTTCTGATAAGAAAAGCTATTCAGATATAAGCACCCACTGAATGCAAATGCCTACCAACCTCAACTTCAGAAATCACTCTTTCATGCAGGAAGCATAAATTTGACTGAAAGCATATGGTTTTCTATCCCTGTTTTCGATTTCCTTGCAGGATTTCAGATTTTATTTTCAATTGCTGTGCTGAACAAATGTTCCATTAACGTGGGCCATTAGAAAAATTCTAGTGATCAGAGTTAAAGCATAAGGTAAAGGAGGCTGCCAGTACATGAGTGAGTCATTTTCCGCAGGTTCTGATTCCATTATTCTTTTTTATTAAAAAAAAAATAGCACCATTTCTCCAACTGTTTGTTGTTGTTGCTGCTGCTATTTTCTGAAGGACTTGGTGAGGTTGAAAATCCACACGTGAATCTTCTCTGGACTTAAACATTTTATTCTCCCTCTTTCTAACTAAAAGGGGGTGGGGGTGGGGAATCTGTGATGGGAGAGAATTGCAAAAGAAATTACCGGCCAGTGGATCACCTGGAGAAAACATAGGTTGTTCCAAGTATGAGTTAGAGCAAGGTTGTCCAAACTTGGGAACTTTAAGACCTGTGGACTTCTACTCCCAGGATTCCCCAGCTGGGACTTGGTCCACAGATCTTAAAGTTCCCAACAGATTGGACACCCCTGAATTAGAAAATTTTAAGCTCTTTCCAGAGCTTAACTTTAAAAAAAGTATTTGTTTTATGGAATAGTCCTTTCACTCTAAGCCAGGGGTGTCCAAACTTGGGAACTTTAAGACTTGTGGACTTCAACTCCCAGAATTCCCCAGCTGGCTTTCCCCAGCCAGTCGGCTAGGGAATTCTGGGAGTTGAAGTCCACAAGTCTTAAAGTTCCCAAGTTTGGACAGCCCTGGCTTAAGCAATCTGCAAAGAGCAGTGATTGGGAGTTATCAGGCTGGTTTTGAATTTGAATTTTAATGGATTTGTATGCCACCCAATCCCGGAGCTGTTTCTTCCACAGCTTCTCTAACAACGGGGAAGAATCCATAATTAATCAGAGACAGTGCTAACTAATGCCCTCCAGATATGTTGGACTACAATTCTCACTGTTTCTAGAAGTTTTCAGGGCTAATTGAGAAACATTCAGTAATTCTTAGTCAAGATGACAAGAAAGCTAACCACAGCACCAGTCTTTCACAGATCATCCTTGACTTAATTAGGGAAGGAATCGTTTTCAGGCTGGCTCATCCTGCTTAGCATCAGAGGCATGGGTCACACCCATGTCAAGGAATTCTCAGGAGATCTTTTGATAATGGCCAACTTTGTTGACCATTTGTGTTTGTTTTTTTCCAGTTTTGCTTTTTTGTGGTCATGATACACTGAAAGCACAGAAATCTGTTTTAAAGGGGTAAAAGAGGCTTCCGTAATGTTTTCAGAATATTATTTAGATGGGCTTTGTTCCGGGCTTCTGTTTAATATCTTCCCTTCAGGGACACAGCACAAATAGATAGAGGGGCTTACCTCTCTAGAGCTCGGTGCAGCCTCTTCCAGCCGTGGTAGCAGCTTCGGTGCTCCAGGCCGCCCCCCATCACCCGGGCCTGCTTTGCAGTCTGCAGCGACCTGGTGTCCAGGATGAAGCCACGTTCCCCACCCTCCAGGACGGTGGTCAAGAGCAGCTCATCCTCATGGCAGCGTTTCCGGTTGGGCCCCACGAGGGGCTGGCTGCTGCGAAGCATCACCTTTATGAGAAAAGGATGGAGATGGATGGAGGCAGTGATGAAATTCATTTTTTTTACTACCGGTTTTGTGGCCATCGCTTAGTGGACGTGGTGTGGCTTGGTGGGCGTGGCTGGTGGGTGTGGCAGGGGAAGGATATTGCAAAATCCCCATTCCCACCCCACTTCAGAGGGAAGGATACTGCACACTCTCCATTCCCTCTCCAGTCCTGGGGGAAGGATACTGCAAAATCTCCATTCCCACCCCACTCGGGGGCCAACCAGAGGTGGCATTTGCCGATTCTCCAAACTACTCAAAATTTCTGCTACCAGTTCTCCAGAACCTGTCAGAACCTGCTGGATTTCACCCCTGGATGGAGGAGAGTAAAGGGGGGAGAGACTCCTGGGGAGGAGTGCAAATTGATTCNGCATGCATAGCCTTGAGGCTTATAGAGTGCTCCTGGGGCCTGGGGCGCAAAAATGAGCAAAAATGGGCTGTTTTTCACTCATTTCTGCCCTCCCCAAATACTGCTATGGACTCTCCAAGTTCTCTCCAGAATCTCCTCATAATTCAAGGGCAAATTCAGGGCTTTCCAACCTGCTTCTCTCCTTCAGTTGACTGCTAATACTGCTGTTACAGCTAAAGGGGAAAGACACTCTCTGGAACTCATTTTGATTTTATTGTTCAAAGTGGGCCAGAGGTGGACTTCATATAATTTAACAACCAGTTCACCTAGTGCAAAACCAAAAATGTGAGCTTGCACGCGGCTTCAAACACATGGCGATTTGATGTGCGTGGCTTCTAGTACACCTTCTTGGGCAGGCGCTGTGAATGGAGTGGGCTAGGCATGGAAATCAGCTGGGATGGAAGGGCGGGATGAGCGAGCCAGAAAGTGAGATAAATAGGACTGGATAACAATGGGGCAGGGAGGCAGGCCCAATCGGTGGTTGGAACTACTGGCTTGCTTGAACTGGTCCGAACCAAGCCGGTTCCTGGAAGGCACAGCTACAATCTTTTCTACTCTTCTGATCTGCTTGTTTTGCTGTCTTAGGATATGAAGAGGATTGGGAATGCTAGTGAGTAAATCATTTTACTGGATCCCAACTGTCCCCACCATTAAACAAGCAAGGAGGAAAAGAGGATGCAGTTACTCTCTGTGTAATCCTCCCTCAGAGTTAGTGAGGTGAAATCTTTTACATCTAACTTTCCCCCAAACAGAGTCCCCACTATGAATCATGATCTACCTCAGAAGGAATTTGGAAAGAAAAATAAAGATGCTTACAAATAACTTAATCCTGGACTGAAATATGCCACTAATTTTCTTAGAAGAGCAATAGCTAAGAGATTAATGATAAATAAAAAATGATGATGTCTCAACACATAGGTCTTTGCCAGTATTACTCTCACAGCCTAGCAAAAACCATATTTACAATGTTGGGACTGTTAAGATTGATGAAAGGGTAATATTATATTAATACTGCACGAGTAATATAATTTTGAAAAGGGACATGGTGGCTCAGTGGCTAAGACGCTGAGTTGTCGATCAGAAGATCGGTAGTTGTGGTTCGAATCCCTAGCACCGCATAATGGAGTGAGTTCCCGTTACTTGTCCCAGCTTCTGCTAACCTAGCCGTCGAATGCATGTAAAAATGCAAGTAGAAAATTGGAACCACCTTTGGTGGGAAAGTAACAGCGTTCCGTGCGTCTTCGGTGTTTAGTCATGTCGGCCACATGACCACGGAAACGTCTTTGGACAGTGCTGGCTCTTTGGCTTTGAAACGGAGATGAGCACCACCCCCTAGAATTGGGAACGACTGGCACATATGTGCAAGGGGAACCTTTATCTTTACTAATATAATTTTGAGGGGGAAAGCACATGAACCAAATAAAAACCATCAAGCGGTCATAAAAGATCATGGCTTTTTCACTGTGCGTGTTGCATAAGAAGCTCCCTCCAGGGATGTGTCATGAATAGTGTGTTTTATTAACACAACAACCCCACAGAAAACATGTTAAACATCTCTACCCTTTGCACAACCTTATCTTTATAAACATTACGTACTGTAAATGAGAATTTTTGGTGCCTTGCAGTAATTCCACCGCCTGCCTCTTTGTGCAGGATTGCTTCGAGGCGCTCATCATCTGCTTGAGATCGTTGGCATTAGCGGAGTGCGAAGGACTCCGGGGCATGCCCACTTCTACAAAAGCATCATTGCAACCTGCAAAGAAACAAGAACAGAATTACACGGATTGGGTGAAGGAATATGAACAGATCTGCCCTATATGATTAAACAACATTGTGATTGATACTAGAATTGTTTATTGAAACACTGAACAATGAAAGAATGAAGGATGAAACTTTAATATATACAGATGTGAAGAGTTAACTAAGGGAAATATGAGTAACAAAGCAGGTGAAAGATGGAGGACAGAAAAGAAACATTTTTAAATACAATGGTGACATGAATAAACGTTAGAATTGAAATAGAAATAAGAAATTATAATATATATAAAAAACTATATAACTATGTGTGTGTGTGTGTGTGTGTGTGTGTGTGTGTGTGTGTATATATATATATAGTTAGTTAGTTAGTTAGTTAGTTAGTTAGTTAGTTAGTTAGTTAG